TACATTTACGTCAAATAAACACGTTGTCATTTAAGATGTGTCTTATGATTTTGTTGGATCACTGGTGAATTTTTAGGCACCCCTTAGAACAACATAAAAGGTGTTGCGTAACATACTCATAGTATAGAAAATCATAAAAACGACATAGAATGATGAGGCATGAAAAGTCATAAAAACTTCATAGTATAGTAAGAAATAAAACATGATAAAAAAATCAAAGTATAATGGGGCATAAAAAGTGATAAAAACGTCATAGTATAATAAGGCATAAAAATTGATAAAAGCGTCATAGTATAGTAAGGCATAAAAACAGCGTAGTATAATACAGCATGAAAAGTGATAAAAAAGTCATAGTATAGTAAGGGGAAAAATTCATTAAAAATGTCTTAGTATAGTGAGGCAATAAACGTCATAGTATAGTAAGGGGAAAAATTCATTAAAAATGTCTTAGTATAGTTAGGCATAAAAACACGATAAAAATGTCATAGTATACTGAGGCAATAAACATCATAGTATAGTAAGGCATAAAAATTGACTAAAACGTCATAGTATAGTAAGACATGAAAAGTGATAAAAAGGTCATAGCATAGTAAGGCATAAAAACGTCATAGTAACGTAAGGCATGAAAAGTGATCAACACATCATAGTATAGTAAGGCATAAAAAGTCATAGTATAGTAAGGCATAAAAAGTCATAGTATAGTAAGGCATAAAAAGTCATAGTATAGTAAGGCATAAAAAGTCATAGTATAGTAAGGCATAAAAAGTCATAGTATAGTAAGGCATAAAAAGTCATAGTATAGTAAGGCATAAAAAGTCATAGTATAGTAAGGCATAAAAAGTCATAGTATAGTAAGGCATAAAAAGTCATAGTATAGTAAGGCATAAAAAGTCATAGTATAGTAAGGCATAAAAAGTCATAGTATAGTAAGGCATAAAAAGTCATAGTATAGTAAGGCATAAAAAGTCATAGTATAGTAAGGCATAAAAAGTCATAGTATAGTAAGGCATAAAAAGTCATAGTATAGTAAGGCATAAAAAGTCATAGTATAGTAAGGCATAAAAAGTCATAGTATAGTAAGGCATAAAAAGTCATAGTATAGTAAGGCATAAAAAGTCATAGTATAGTAAGGCATAAAAAGTCATAGTATAGTAAGGCATAAAAAGTCATAGTATAGTAAGGCATAAAAAGTCATAGTATAGTAAGGCATAAAAAGTCATAGTATAGTAAGGCATAAAAAGTCATAGTATAGTAAGGCAAAAAAATGTCATAGTATAGTAAGTCATGAAAAGTGACCAAAACATCATATTATAGAAAGGCATAAAAAGTGATAAAACGTCATAGTATAGTAAGGCATAAAAACGTCATAGTAACGTAAGGCATGAAAAGTGATAAACACATCATAGTATAGTAAGGCATAAAAACGTCATAGTATTGTAAGGCATGAAAAGTGATAAAAACATTATAGTATAGTAAGGCACAAAAATGTGATAAAAACATCATAGTATAGTAAGGCATAAAAACGTCATAGTAACGTAAGGCATGAAAAGTGATAAAAACGTCATAATATAGTAAGGCACAAAAACGTGATAAAAACATCGTAGTATAGTAAGGCATAAAAACGTCAAAGTAACGTAAGGCTTGAAAAGTGATAAAAACATCATAGTATAGTAAGGCATAAAAACGTCATAGAATTGTAAAGCATGAAAAGTGATAAAAACATCATAGTATAGTAAGGCATAAAAACGTCATAGAATTGTAAAGCATGAAAAGTGATAAAAACATCATAGTATAGTAAGGCATAAAAACGTCATAGAATTGTAAAGCATGAAAAGTGATAAAAACATCATAGTATAGTAAGGCATAAAAACGTCATAGAATTGTAAAGCATGAAAAGTGATAAAAACATCATAGTATAGTAAGGCATAAAAACGTCATAGAATTGTAAAGCATGAAAAGTGATAAAAACATCATAGTATAGTAAGGCAAAAAAATGTCATAGTATAGTAAGTCATGAAAAGTTACCAAAACATCATAATATAGAAAGGCATGAAAAGTGATAAAAATGTTATAGTATAGTAAGGCATAAAAACGTCATAGTAACGTAAGGCATGAAAAGTGATAAAAATGTCATAGTAACGTGAGGCATGAAAAGTGATAAAAACGTCATAGTATAGTAAGGCATAAAAACGTCATGGTAACGTAAGGCATGAAAAGTGATAAAAACGTCATAGCATAGTAAGGCATAAAAACGTCATAGTAACGTAAGGCATGAAAAGTGATAAAAACATCATAGTAAGGCAAAAAAAACATCATAGTAAGGCAAAAAAATGTCATAGTATAGTAAGTCATGAAAAGTGACCAAAACATCATAATATAGAAAGGCATAAAAAGTGATAAAAACGTCATGGTATAGTAAGGCATTAAAACGTCATAGTAACGTGAGGCATGAAAAGTGATAAAAATGTCATAGTAACGTGAGGCATGAAAAGTGATAAAAACGTCATAGTATAGTAAGGCATAAAAACGTCATGGTAACGTAAGGCATAAAAAGTGATAAAAATGTCATAGTAACGTGAGGCATGAAAAGTGATAAAAACATCATAGTACAGTAAGGCATGAAAAGTGATAAAAACGTCATAGTATTGTAAGGCATGAAAAGTGATAAAAACGTCATAGCACAGTAAGGCATAAAAGCGTCATAGTAACGTAAGGCATGATAAGTGATAAAAACATCATAGTACAGTAAGGCAAAAAAATGTCATAGTATAGTAAGCCATGAAAAGTGACCAAAACATCATAATATAGAAAGGTATAAGAAGTGATAAAAATGTCATAGTATAGTAAGGCATAAAAACGTCATAGTAATGTAAGGCATGAAAAGTGATAAAAACGTCATAGTATAGCAAGGCATAAAAACGTCAAAGTAACGTAAGGCATGAAAAGTGATAAAAATGTCATAGTAACATGAGGCATGAAAAGTGATAAAAACATCATAGGGAACATCATAAGGCATAAAAACGTCATAGTAACGTAAGGCATGAAAAGTGATAAAAATGTCATAGTAACGTGAGACATGAAAAGTGATAAAAAAACATCATAGTATAGTAAGGCATAAAAACGTCATAGTAACGTAAGGAATAAAAAGTGATAAAAATGTCATAGTAACATGAGGCATGAAAAGTGATAAAAACATCATAGGGAACATCATAAGGCAAAAAAATGTCATAGTATAATAAGTCATGAAAAGTGACCAAAACATCATAATATAGAAAGTAAGGCATGAAAAGTGATAAAAACGTCATAGCATAGTAAGGCATAAAAACGTCATAGTAACGTAAGGCATGAAAAGTGATAAAAACATCATAGTATAGTAAGGCAAAAAAATGTCATAGTATAGTAAGTCATGAAAAGTGACCAAAACATCATAATATAGAAAGGCATAAAAAGTGATAAAAACGTCATAGTATAGTAAGGCATTAAAACGTCATAGTAACGTAAGGCATGAAAAGTGATAAAAACGTCATAGTATAGTAAGGCACAAAAACGTGAAAAAAACATCATAGTGTAGTAAGGCAAAAAAAAAATGAAAAAAATATCACAGTATCATAAGGTATAAAAATGGACTAAAACGTCATAGTATAGCAAGGCATAAAAACATCATAGTAACGTAAGGCATGAAAAGTGATAAAAAGATCATCGTATAGTAAGGCATAAAAACGTCATAGGTGTCAAAAGTGATAAAAACGTTATAGCATTGTAAGGTATAAAAAAGTCATAGTAACATAAGGCATGAAAAGTGATAAAACTTCATAGTATAGGAATGCATGAAAACGTCATAGTATAGTGAAGAATAAAAAGTGACAAAAACGTAATAGTATAGTAAGGCACAAAAAATTGATAAAAACATCATGGGATAGGTAGGAATAAAAAATTACTAAAATGTCATGTATAGCAAGGCACAAAAAGCGATTAAAATGTCACAGTACAGTAAGGCCTAAAAAGTCATGAAAAAGTCACAGTACAGTAAGGCTTAATAACACAATAGTATAGTAAGTCCGTAAAAAGTCATACAATTCATGGTGACATTTTCTTTTTCAACAGAAATTTAATTCATACTTTGAGATACCCACCATTTTGTTTATTCCTGTTAGCAAGCTGAGTGCCAGACTACAGCAGACAGAAGCCAGGGTTAGGTTGAGAGTTAACGCTAGCTAACATGGTTAAATAACATCATTTGACATTTTTCTGGTGACATCAGGAACCACTGTGATATTCAGATAGCCCTCACCCTTTCAGTTAGTCAAATGCTAGCATGCCTAAATCATTGTCTTGTAAACGTTTCTACTTGGAGAACACATTGGAATGATCTAATATCACTTCACTTCAAGTATAGTGTGAACAAGTTCACTCAAATATTGGAAGTGACAATTCTGTCCTCCCAAATTATTGGTAGGGACAGGTCCCTACATCCATATGCAAACCTATGCCATTGTAAAAACCTATTAAAAGCTCAAGGAAACAAATTGGAGGACTGTCATTCGTCATCTCTAGGTTTCCCCATAGGACGTGAGCTTGGACAACAAATGAGGAAATGTCACCACCTTGTGGTCAGAGAACAATACAAAACCATAAACCAATGAGGTATGTCATAATAACTAGATGGTAGTGTTTGTGGATATAAAAAAGGTGGCATCAGCATGTGATCATTTAATGAGGCAAACTAATAAGATATTCACTTCAATACAGATATTTTATCTGATGTTTATAACTTTATATGCAAGATCCATTCAGTAAATAAGTTGCCTGACTACTTATCCAATTGTCAATTTCAAATTTAGAATGTTAAATAAAAAAAATAAAAAAAAAAAGGGGTATCCTAATAGTCAATTCTAAAAGCTAGCTATGGAGTTGGATTAATGTCTCAAAACATAACTACATTTAAAAAAAAAAAAAGGAAATATGGACAAGTCATAATTGATGCAGACGGACACCAAAGATCCAGCTCAAAATGTTTATTCAGATTAACAGATCAGAAACAGTCACAATCTTTGTTTAAAATGTCCAGGAGGAGGCTTATAGATAATGAGGGCAAAGTCATAACCTAACAACATTCATCCTTCCATATGACATTTGAAAATAGCAGTAACACCACGACGTACGAGCACTCAACTTCAAAGATTAATCAGAGTAGATATTGATTATGCTCAATGAATGAACAGCTGGAGCAGAAGGGTGTGTGAATTTAAAGCCTGTGTTAAGATTTTCACTTCAGGCTCAATCCAGAAGCTTTTGCATTTAGCTTTTGCTGCCCAGGGTGTGCTTGTCAAACAGGTACTCTGCCATCTTGTTGTTGTGGGCATCCATGCGGGTGAGGTTGGTGATGTAGTCACCCAGCTTCTTGATGGCCTCCACCTGCTCGTTCAGGTAGTGGGACTCCAGGAAGTCACACAGCTGAGGGCCAGATGAGAGAACAATTAGTGGTTCGGTATAACAGACAGATTTTCCTCACATTTTTGAATTTCTAGAGTACAAAGGGTTTGTCTTGTCTCAGCATTAACAGACTCTTCCTACAACTTACATGTGGGTCTCCATGCTCTGAGGCCAGCTTGTGCAGGTCCAACAGGGCCTGGTTGACGCTCTTCTCCAGCTGCAGAGCGCCCTGCATGGCCTCCAGCCCGCTCCCCCATTCATCACGTTCCGGTTTCTACGGAAGAAAAACATTTAATTATAGCAGACTGAACTCCCATTACAATAAGCCTTATGTACACATAGCACAATGATCTGAGTCAACAGTTTCTACACCAGCACCGCTGCCTGTCTGATAACAAGCTTAGAGGATCAGCTCTGTTATTTGATAATGATTACTGAGGAAATCCATTAATTCAGACCAGATTTAGCCTGTGAGATAGGCTAACATGAAATGTATTATTAGTAAAATAGACTGCTACAGAGGTTTTCAATTTATTATAGATAGCGAACAGATTAGGGACAATTCTGTACAATAAAAATAAAGTTCTAACATCTTAGAGAACATTTTAAGATGCTCTCAAACGGGAGCGAACGAGTCAAAACACTGCACGTTTTCTTCTGTACCAGACACACTGGGTGTAGTGAGACATGTTATAATAGGTCCAGGTCGCTGGTCTGTACTGACCTTGATGTCCTGCAGGAAGATGCGTCCTCCTCTCTTGTTCTGGAAGGACAGCAGCTTCTCGGCATGCTCCCTCTCTTCGTCACTGTTCTCCTTGAAGAAATGGGAGAAGCCTGGGAGGGCCACATCATCACGGGAGAAGTAAAAAGCCTGTGAGGGGACAGGTGAGGTAGGTAGAGGACAAAGACTGTTATTAGACAACATCACCCATCATTATTTGGCTAAAAAACATTGTGACAAACAGCAGTTATTCAGTCAGACAGTGGTCAGACACATGAGTCATGACTTTGGATAGTCTGTGTCTGCAAACCACCTAAGAATGACAAAGCATTTTTTGTCAGGAGGGTGGAGCAAAAACACACACACACACACTTATCTGGCCACCTGCCAATCAGTGATAAACAACCAAGGCGAAAAGCAGTAACTCAGGCCCCAACTGCAATGCATTAAATAGTGCATTAAATAACATGCAGAAAATATATGCAATTAACGACCCATTGTGTCTGAATCCTTTTCGGTAACTTGCAGTCAGTCAGTAAGCTACCGTAGGTAGTGGATACCCTATCATAACATATCAGAAACATAATACATCTATATTAATAGATACAATTACAAACAATAATTAAAGTGTTGTTTTTCTTACCATGGAAGTGTATGTGTAAGAGGCAAACAGCTCCATGTTGACCATCCGGTTGATAGCGGCCTCACAGTCGCGGTGGTAGTTCTGACGCACTTGGGAGTCCATCTTGGCTGGCGTTTTCTTGTGCTTTTTCTTAGCAAAAAGGTACAAAAATAGAGCTTTACGTCGACTTCTTCAGTAGTGTTCAAGTAGAAAAGGATTTTGAGTTTCGACAAGGTGTAGTAGTTGGAAGTAAAGAGCGGGGACGAGCGAAGAAGTTCCGTTCAAACACTGTTGAAGCAAGAACTCCTCTACGATTTCTTCCCTGATGTGAAATGGTAGGCGAGCAGCTCCGTGTATTTATACCCCGCAGCACCTCGTGACGGATGTAACGTCACTCTGCACATTTCCACCAATCACTGAGCTCAGGTAGCACGTGAGCTGTGAGATAAGAAATGAGGTTGCATTTTTTTTTTTTTTCCTTATTCATGGAAACTTCAGGTTAATGTTTTATGTATTTATTCTGACCTGCAGACAGACTGTTTAAAGGGGTAGGAAACTGCATTAAATTTGAGTTGAAAGTAAAGTGTAGATTTAACAAAAGATTAAAACAAGTAAAAAAAAGAAAAAAAAACATACCTCGAAATACAAACAGAGAAACAAAACAAAAACATTTCCCCCACTCAGGCTACAATAAAATAGAAATATTGACTTTTTGAAATAGCCACATACAGCCAGCATAACATGAACTTGTTTTAACTCATAAATACACAGCATGGCATCTAAAAACAGCTGATAAGGTGTTTTCAACCAAGGTAGTCATTGCATTACTCAGTACCACAGCACTGTTGCGAAACACTAAGGTTGAAAAGCCTGGAAGTCCTATCATTGCTGAAACACTTTTTATATATAGTCATGCTGAAACAACTCAGGGACTAAGAAATTACTGTATGTAGGCCTACATTTTATTTGTTATTAAAGTGGCTTTTTTTTCAGGGACAATACCTCTTACTGTTTAGATGGATTAAGGGATCCAGATATATTTTGTTTAATACATATAATACATTAATAATGTGTGAGCCAGAAACTGAACTGACCACAGGGCTGAATATGTCTGTCTGTCTGTCTGTCTGTATGTATGTATGAATATATATGTGCATATACAGTATATGTGTCAGCCGTGGTAGACTGTTTGGGATGTACTCTGCCCCCTGCCCAAATGCATGGTGGGATGTAAAAAGTTAGAGAATGTATAGATGGAATAAAACCATTATAACAAAAAAGACAAATGTGCTATGAAAGTTGATGTATTCACATTAATAAAGCACTGAAGTCAGACATTTACCAAATGGGATGTGTTCAATTGGTCAGTACCAATACTGAGGTAATAGGGTACATGAAAATAATGAATCAGATGGTGCAGTTACATATACACAGCAGTATTTTACAACTGAAAATAGTCTGCTCTGTTAATCATGATCCTTTGTGGCAAGCCTAGTCCAACTTCTAACAAGAGGTTAAAGCAAACATTGACATTTGGGTTGAAGTGTCCTCACATAAACCTATACATTCACCTTTGTCCTTATCAGACTATAATAAAGTGACACTGTGAGGCAGTAGTTTTCCACTTGTATAGATTTTTTTTTCAAATGGTAAAACCAGGTAGATTTTAAAGGCCTTCTCACTCTGGATAGCTGCTTTGTTCAGCACCTGTGTGTTATGATAAGATGGCAAGAAATTAATGTAGAAATGAGAACGCGGGTCCTCGTGTTCCACTCAGTGCAATTTTATTGGAACCCAAAGCTTTTTTACAGGATACTCTATCTGTATCTGTCCACCAGCCGGCAGTCACAAAATACTGTGCTTAAGAAAGTGTCTGGAGAAAACATGTGAGCCTTTAGGTTTAACGTCTCATACACACACAATACTGGTTGGCACTATGCAGGCCGACAATGTCCGTCACTAAAATAAACATTGACACAGGTTTTCTCTCTTACTTATGTGTAACCTGCCAGTGAGTGTAAAGAATACATCACACATTCAACTTGTGTCCACAGATATTTCACTGAAGATATTACATTCTGTAACAAACATTTTTCAATGGTGATATATTCATATTTTAATATATTTGTGACATTTTTGCCAGTAGTTAGCATAGCTTCCAGAGCTAGAGCTAGATAACATGACTTCTACAGCATAACACAGCAGCATTTTAGTTTTTCACAGGAATTATCAAGAGAGGCGTTTATCTTACTGAAAATGTAATATTGCTGGTGTGGCTGCAGGTTAAAGAGCCACCCTCTAATTTGAAAAACTATATGTGCCACATGTACTTATTATTATTATTTATGTAGCCTATTTCTATTAACTTAACCACTCTGTTGTCATCCCGTCTCATCTGAACCCTATTCTCTACACTGTGATTTTCAGGAGGGCTCTGTTGTACAGACTTCTAGAAACCGTCTCTCAGTGGTTTGTTGGCTTTAGCAGCACTTTCCTGGTAGATAATTTTCTTGGAAGGTACATCACTCCTATATAAATGCTTTCAACCTGCATGAAAAATTGTTGCCATTAAAAAAAGTTTTTCAGCAAAATCCAGGCAGTAACAGATGACCATGTGTGTCTCATACAGGGTTCTCTGTGAAACAGTGTGAACAACATAGACAAGTGTGAGAAAGGAAGGGCTACAAACAGGAAGACATGTAGGGCTTAATGGTTTCAGATCCATTGTCTGTGCATGCTCTCCAGTTTAGTAAAAATGCACTAGAACTTCTTGTGCTTTTATTGTATGTTAGTGTCATAAAGTTAGGAACCATAAAACTGAAAAGTCACAGTAAAAAAAAAGGAAATCTATCATTACAGCACAACGTGTCCATATCCTACATCTTGAAAAAGTGAGTCAGCAGTTTACGCAGCACCTTTGCCTCTGCTGTGCTTATTTTATGCTGTGTCATGTCACATGATTAGTCAGTCTTCTACAAAAGTAGTGTCAAGTTCGTCTGTGGATTGCGCTGTGTCATTGTTGTGACTCAGCATTCCACAGTTTCAACGTCCCATCCTTCTGGGCAGTGATCTTGTGACCAAGGAACCGTCTGACCGGAAGTTCAGTTCAGGGCTCTGCTGGATGGAACCAGTTTGGGGGAAAACAAAAAGGAACAAGAAAGTGGAAAAAAGAGGAAGTGATAACAGGAGATGGATATGCATGAGGCAGTGTAGTGTTTGTGTAACAAGAAATAACATGAGCCAAGTTGAATTTTACTGGAATATCAATGTTTCTCTTCACATAGTAATGATTAGTTAAAAAAAATTCAAAATAAAACTTTATAAAAACTGCTTTTTTCGACTCAAAAGACACCAAGGCTTCTCCTGCTATAACCTGCACCCTGCTAGCATTAACATTATAGGATTTATTTCCTTGCTGTTGCCAAATGCATCATTGGGCTTTTCCACAGTTTTACTTGTTAAAGCATGACATACCCAGGTAAAATTAATGACTTTAATGACGTCTCCATTCAAGCAATTCAGCTGTAATAGCAATAACTGCTGAGACATTTCAATCAAAAAAGAGGAAAAGTTATTAGGATACACACAATATCTGGTAGCTATGAATGTGAAGCCTTTCAATAGTTGTTGGGGGTGATATAAATCTGGACCAAAATGTTGGACAAAACAACAGCCCAAGAGCCATGCCAACAACATGGCTAAAAACATGACAAGAAAATGTGTAAATTCATTATATTATCTTTTAATCATGGCTTTTGGACAGTGAGATACACAGCATACATTCTCTGGAAACTGACATATAAATTTGAGAAACATTTTTTATGGTTATGGTTGTACAGTAATAAAAATGTCCCATACAGTACATTAGCATATCTGGATTGAGTTCACACAGGGTTGATCGATCTTTGCTCCGTCAGAGACAGAACTGTAAGGCAGAGGAGATTTCAGGTTACTGTGAGGATACTTGTAATAAACCGAGAAGAAATGTAATGACTAACAGAGAAAAGAAGCTTAATAGCAGAAGATAGAGGTAGAAAGAGAGCAGGTCATCAGGTAAGGCAAACCAACAATGAACTGGTCTTACTGGCTAGTATCATCTGTGTAGCCACTGTCATCCTTCATTGTCAAAAATGCAACACCATTACATTTAACTGAAATATTGTTTTATTGTAAACAAGCTAATGTAGATTTTCTCAAACACGTCTGCTACTGCTTCTCTAAATAAAAAATGTCATGTAGATATGAATTTGTATTTATAACACCTTGCTAGTTTGATGAAGTCATCACAGTGAAGGAATGTGTAATGAATACACCCCTGGTAGATCCTCTACCTAACAAATCACCTTATACATCGTTAAAGTTACTAACATGTGGCCCACATCCATGTATTTTTCTCTCTTTTAGTCCATCAAAATCTGTCTGTTCTAAGTGCTTCATGTAAAATCCAGCCCTCACTCAGTCTCTGTGGTGTAGTACTCCTGTCATAACCCCAAAATTCAATCTGCTCATATATTTAATCTCTTTCAAATTCTGCTCGCTCACTCATAATCTGCTAAACAAATCCCCGTGGCCTTCACTTCTATCTGTCCCCTTCGTTCATTCTAGCAAATACAGTAAGAGCCATAATTTTAACAGCAATGAAGGCTTTTACTTTTGTTTTCCACAAACAACAAAAATGATAATGAACTTTTAAAAACATATTTTGAGGGCGGACATGATCTAAATCTCAGCCGTCTTTCAGAATTATTCAGTTCATTAAGTGCACATTAAATGATGATCATCAACTGTAATAAACTTTAAGTGCCATTTAGGATCCTTTGTGAAAACATTTGAATTTGTAGGTGAACTCTGACCCTTTTAGAAGGAAATCTTATATTTATTTAATTGTTGTTTAGTTTATATCAAATAAAATATAATAGCACAATATTTGATATCATCATTTGTTCCTCTATGGGTATTTCATATGACCATGGGGTTGATGAAACCCTTTGAAAATTATTGAAAATAATTGAAACTTGTAAACGCTGAGCTGCATATTATGATATTAACATTTCATTGGCTCCAACATCTGTATTTATTTCATTTTCTTTGATTTTTGTTGATGTTGCACTGACATTTTCTCTGTTTGTTGCCACATTTACTTGATGCTTCAGATTCTGTAGATGGTTCATTTCTGATCGTAGGCACGGTGTTCGCCTTACCAAAAAACACAAGACCAGAAAAAGTAAGAAATTGATTAAACAGTGTTTTAACTGGTGTAGGCTGCAAGCATTAGTGTGTCGGGTTAACTTGCTACTGTACATTGGGGACGTTAGTAAGTTACAGTGTGTCACTTCCAAGGCCAAGCCTATTATTAACTAAGTGCATTAGCTTGTGAGGTTGCAGGTTACATTATAAAAAAAGCCCCTTATGTTATGTTTAATTTCCCCTCTGTGTAGAGTCCTGGTTAATGTCAGTTAATGCATGATATGCATGTAGGCATCAATAGCATATTGAAGACTCTTTAAAATGGTCCTGATTATAATATGAATCACTTGGAGACATTAGTAGGTCATCTGGGATTTTCAACCAGCTCATGCAGGTTATGTTAGTTTAATTCTAACCAGCTCCAGCTGATGGAATCTGCTAATTCAGAAATTACGAACCTGCCACAGAGAGCTTGATAGGCGTAGCAGCAGTAACTAAAGGGGGCGGGGCTTAGCAAACAGTCAGTTACTGGGAACATTTGTTGTCTGTTCACTTTTAATTTCATGGGCATCTTATGATCTTTCATGGTCACAGTATTTGATCCTTCCTGCTCAATCTACATCCTCCAGGTCACAGATACCTATAGAGTTTAACTGTGACTCTTCATTCCTCTGTCTTTCCCTCTCTATCTCGCCACCTTCGTCTTTCTGTCTTCTTATGCGGTGGGAATCCACACACTCTTCCACTGGACGGCGTTTCTCCACATTTCTTCCAGGAGCGAGGGATGAGACTGAGTCCAGTCCTTCCCGCCGTCTCTCTCCTCCTGGCAGAAAAGGCGCAGGGTTTTCAGAGGACTGGTGCAGGTGTGCTGGAGGTACTGACAGCCCTACAGCAGGAAGCAGGAGACAAAAGGAGGATGTGTGCTAAGAATTGTGTCTCGTTTCCTACACATTTTTAATCTCAGAGTTGGGAGCTCAATTTTGAACAGTAGAGTATATGTTGGTCTCTAGTCCCTCACTCACCTCAGCACTACCCCAGTACCAGATCGCCTTGATGACACTGTGATTAGCCAGAGCCACTGTCAGCTGGTCCCTACTTCCTGAAATGACGTTTACCAAACCTGCAGGCAGGTCTGACGACTGGAGCACCTGAAGAGGAGGAAGAGGAGGAAAACAGATGATGAAGATGAAATCAGTGTTTACAGATACATTAACAGGTGTACTCAGGTGTTTTTGTTAGCGATTTGTAATGGCGTGTCTGATGCAGATGTTTTGACTATGGCACATTTAAAAGGGTCTGTTCTTATTTTTATTAAGTATACAATAACATTGAGTGATGTAAACTAACTGATCTCTGCCTGGACTTTATAGTCAGGTTTCCATTCAAATGTAATGTGAGTTTCCATCCATTGCTGTTATGGAAATATTAGGAGCTTGAACATCGAGATAAAGCTGGGGTCACCAGTCCTCCAGTCGGCCAATTAAACCACCGCAGAAGAGGGAGCAATGAGGTGATGTAATTAAAAGAGTGCCAGTCAAACTTGTACATGTGTACAGTTTTTTTGTGTCTCTTTTTGTCTGTTTGCCATGATTTATTCCACAAAAACTTTCGTGATATTTTTTGTCTTTTATTAAAAATTTAGTGTGTTTCAAAAAAATGTGTATAAACACTGTATGAGAGACTGGACGTCGCAAGAATGAAAGGGGGTTGAAACAGGGCTGATTATTACTGACATCTTGAGTCATTAAATGACCCTGCACCAGTTTCTAGGACTTTAACCTCTAATATCAAACTACATGCTCAGAAATTAATTACTGGATCTTTCTATTCATACAAAGAAACTAAAAACTTTTTCCAATTAAAACGATTTCTCGGGTCACCACACTTAACACATCTCGACACTTGCCTGAACGAATGCCAAGACCGGCAGTGGATTTTTCTCACTGGGGACCATGATGACGGCGTTGCCAGTGGCGACGGCTGCCCCAAGAAGTGTTACCATGGAGAGGAGGGCGTTCTTATCTGGGAGGACGAGCCCGACGACTCCCAGGGCTTCAGGGAGGGAGAGAGCAGAGCCAGACTGAGGCACAGGCTGAAGGAGAGGGAAACATTTATTCAGGGTAAAACTGAACTGAGTCTCGAAATGAATAAAGATGAAAAACAAAGGACTTTTATGCAGAAGATTCTTTTATAAATTTTGTATAATATAAAAAAGCCTCACCAGAGTTCCTCCTTGGACTTTGTCACAGTAAGCTGCCCAATCATTGAGCCTCGCTGAGCTGAGGTCCACCTCCTTCTCAGCTTCATCCATTGACAGACCGGTCTGAACGTTGATTGACACAGCTATGTCCCGCCTCTTTGCTTCCAGGCCCTTGGCCAGAGAGTAGAGCGACTGAGCACGTGCAGACGGACTTTTTTTCATCCAGCTAGAGGAGAGGAAGGATGGTATAAGAAATATTGTGATCAAACCCTGGTGCCGAACATCAATGTGTGTCTTTGTCTGGTTTTTGTTAAAAAAAAAAAAATCCAAGTATGAACGTCCTGCAGGAAAACCATAGTGAGCATGAACTGTACCTTTAAAGGTCTGCATGTGGTAACAAGAAAAGTTCAGTGCATCAAACTGTTGATACATGTTGATACCTGTATACTTTGTTTATATACTTTGTATGACTCAGCATATTTGTCTTTGTTTTGTTTTATTTTATTAGCTTCCAAAGTCAAGTTGGACTTTGACTGGTCATAAACACACAGAGCCCACTGTGTTGTGAAACACCTTCCTACATGTGTGTCCTTGTGAAAGTCTGAAAATGTCAATAGATCCTTTATGGAGGCAAAATTTCAACTCTCACAGTTTTATATGTAGCAAAAAATTGACAGGTTTCAGGCTGTTTATCTTTTAACAGTGGTTAAATTTGAACTAAGATAAGGAAACTGTGTGTTTAACCTGTCAAATTACAGAACACTCAACACACTAATGGGCTCCAAATGGAAATTAAATAAGAACTGCATATGTAATTTGCTGTGTAGTGAAGCGACTGATTACCTTTTGGTTGGAGAGAGAAGTTCTGATAGAAAAAGAAATTACTACACATCTTTGTTTTACGGTTCAGAAGAAACAGAAATGTCAAAAAAATAAATGATACAAAATGTTGCATGTATTTTATTTATTTCCTGATCCACAAAAACAGCAGAGAACAAAGAAAACAGTTTTTCATAGCGCCTTCTACATATTAATGTAAAATAGACGTGTAAACTTCTTCTCATTGTTTTACTTCTGATCAATACATTTAGCATTTAATCTTTAATTGCTGCAAAGTGTTTCATCCCTGTATAAATATATTTCGAAAACATTTCACCAGTTATCCGTTCAGGAAATCTAAGCCTTGTAAATGATTAATGACTGAACTAGCGTGACTATAACGCAGTAGTGTGAACTTATTGACATTTTCCCAATTTAGGTTCTTTCTTTGCTGCAGTTATGTTATTTTAAAGTTAATGCATATGTGCAGAGACTGCATATGAAATATCTTATAACTCCACTGAAATGAAATGGTGGCCCTGCCCTTTATTTCCTTGCTGCCATGAGGAATCACAGCTGTTGATGATGTTTTTTTTTTTTTCAATCACCAAATCTGATCAGCTGTTCTGGATCCAAAACTCTGAGTTCAGGGTTAGTTTGGAGTTTGCTCAGCCCCCTCCCTGGAACCGACCACAGCTCTCACTGGATATGTATGAATTTGTCCTCTGGGTTTGTGAGTTTGCAAGAACGATATACATTTGCGGTTTTTAGCTGGACTTTGATATCCCAGCTTGCTAGCATGTGTCTTTTGTGTCAGTGTGTGTGTGTGTGTGTGTGTGTGTGTGAGTTTCTTGTGTGACAAAGTTCTCACCTAGGCTGGACTTTGATCGCTGCCTCCACAGCATTACGGACGTCTTTCCGGCCTCCATCTGGACAATAGGCCAACACACTGCCGCCTCCTGGTGGCTGCACAGCCACAGTGCAGCCAGACTCAGATTTACACGCCTTACCTCCGACGAACTGCAGGTAGGACTTCGGAGCACTGAGGGGAGAGGAGGAAGGAAGAGAGGGGTGCATGTAGACAGATGTGCACCCGACAAATCAGTTGCCTGCATTGAATTATGCTGTGAGTTACTATAATGTGCTTATGCTGCTATGGCGCTTTGTGACACCTTATGAACACGCCTCGTAGTAAAGAGAGCATTACAAACCCACCTGGCGGCGTCTGAATCATCAGGAATGATAGCGGGAGATGCTGCTGTTCCAAACTTTGTGTAGTCCATAGAGACAGGGGAGGAACGAGGAAGAGGAGGAGAGGAAGAGCAGGACGAGTGTAGGAACTGGTACAGACCCTGTCAGAAAGCAGAGAGGAGGTCAACGTACAATACAAGACACTTCTGGCTGGTGAACCATTCTTCTGTTATGTTAGATCCCTGCCGGTGTCTATGGAGCTCCAGAGGTGGCAAAATGTTCTGAAAGGTTATTAGACGAATCAAAGATATAACTGCGTAGATGTCAATGGACTGCCAATCGCCGATAACTGAAATATTTGTCCAACTGTTCGACCCTATTGCACAGGGGCATACTCAGTTTTCTTGTATATTGTCTCTATTCCCTATTTTCACAACAAGACTGATTCCTCACCACAGACACCATGCCCCTATCTTCATCTTTGAGCACATGTCTCTTATATTTATAAAGGAAAACAGCAGAAATAAGTTTGTTGCTACAGCTCAGTCAGTTTCAGGGCTCCGTTGGTTTCTCCTGTCAAGGTCTTTGCAGTGTGAGCAACTACTGAAACCCACCTCCTGTCCTCCGTCAGTGCAGGTGCCGCTGTCTTTGTGACCAGAGACAGGCATACAGGGGTCAGACACAGAGTGTGAATTTACCCACACTGAGCCGACAGACAGACTGGGGAGAGACAAAGAAGACGAAAACATCAGTGGGAAGAATTAAACCCTCAATAGAAATTTACCAAAATAAATATTTACAAGTGAAAAAGAAAAAAAGGGATTTGGAGGAAGACAGATGCAGCAAAGAAACAAACAATACAAGAAAATTAAGATGGGACAGAAAAAGAAGAGGAGAGATGAATGAGTGAGTGAACCTCTTTGCTGTCTCCAGAGCCAGAGTGAGATCTTCAGTCCAGATGGAGGCGGCCAGGCCATGAGGACTGTGGTTCCCTGTGTAGAACAAAGGCCATTACTGCGGTTGAAGGGGAAAATTCACTGTTAAAAGACAAAGTGTTATACTGATCTGAAACTGCTGTTAATCAGAGAAAAGCTCATACATTTGACATTTATATCTCACTCACTATGATGATGAATGAATGCGGATAAAATGTTTCACGTAATATGTTTAACAAGTCTCTCATGAGCGTACCATGGGTACCATCACCGTATCCACGGTGATTCACTGGCAACTGAATTAAAAAACTGAAAATAAGCTTCCAGTTTCAGGAGAGAAATGATCATATTGACGCAAAATGCCCATTATCAGATAACGTCCTCACTGCTTCAACTACCTTCAGGCCTCCTTCAGGAGAGGCCTCCTTACCCAGGGTCACTGCTTCTGTGTTGCTTCTGAAGGTCATGAGAGGCAGCAGCGGTCCAGGAGCAGGGCTGACCACAAATGAAGAGGAGGGGGCGGCTCCACATAGCACTGTGGGAGGGTACAGGGCACCTGAAGGTGGGGCAGCGCAGGACTGAACCAACTGAGGAGAGGGAGAAGAATAATGTTATTTACTGAAAACAAACCAAACACCTGCAGGTTACAGCTTCTTACATATAAGCGTTCTTTTCTTTCCTTTTGCTAGTGAACATTATTATTTTTGACATTTCATATGCGGAACTGACAAAATGTAATAAAAGGTTACCACACAAATAAAATAGCTGAATATAACTATAAATAATACTGTTAGTTAGTTTGCTGTTATCAGAAATGCGACATTACATCACACATCTATAAAATACCAAGGACAAGACTTGTGGGCCTTGATGAAGACATGAACTTTAATATAAAGAAAATGTTATAAAGCATGATGTCTGACAACTTCCACATAGTGTAAAGATTATGTGTGGATTATTTAATGACAAAATAATCAGGCTTCCACTTGCATGAAATCCAGCATGGTGGTTTGTAGTTACTGGTCATGATGTCATCCATCAGTTAAACATATTTTAAGCAAAATATGTATCTCAATTTTTAAAATAAAAAATCGAATTCAAATCTGGTTAGTTTAGAGTTAGTGAGAACTCGCTCTACTCTCAGTCACTCATTTTCAAAGTCACTGCTCAGCTTTTTCTGACTAACCGTGGCCCCCTGCTGCTGAGCCTCCTGTACTGCAGCGTCCACCTGGACCCTGTCTGCATCACTGGCCAGGCCAACACACGTCATCCCCGCCATACGCAGCTTGAGACGGGCCACAACCCTTTCCAACACGTTCTCCTGCACGCACAACACCCAGTTGACCTGAGGGGTGAGAGGAAGAGAGGACTGTTAAAGAGACTGCTAAAGGGATGTGGTGATCTGAGGACAATTCTTCTGTGAAGCACCTCTTTCTTCTTCTTGAAGGCAGTCTCTAACACTCCGTCCACAGCGCTGTCAATGTCAGCTGACTCAAAAATGATGATGGGACATGTGGCACCGATGCAGGGGGAGACAGAAATGGGAACACCCATACCTGCTGCTGCCTTGCACAGCATCACTCCATCCTGAAAGAGGAGGGAAATTTTGTGGTATTGTTTAAGAAATTTTTTTAACTTTAAAAACCAGTTAACAACTCTCTTATTTGAAATGTAAAACCAAATTCCTCTCACACACACCTGCTTGTTGCCACTGTAGGTGACGTAGCTAATGCTAGGGTTCTGGGCCACTTTGGCACCCAGCGACATGTCACTTCCTGTTAAGACATTAAGAGCCCCAGCGGGAAGTCCTGCACTCACAAAGAGCTGTGCCAACAGGAGCGCTGGAGGGGCGGTGCTCCGACCTGGGACAACGATGACAGAGTTGCCTGGGAGGAGGAAGGATTCAGTTATTCAACACACGTCTTAAAACAGCTCTGAATGAAAATTAACAAAACAAAAATATGGATTTCATTAGATCAACAGAAGCTTAAACTGCAACTACTTTGATCACCAATGTGAGAAATTGCTGCTTTGTTTTATCATGAATGGACATGGGCTCTAGGAAACAGTGACGGCCATTTTTATTGTCTTAATTAATTTATCAATCAAGTCAAAAATCAGCAGAATAGTCGACATTAATCAATAGTTGCAGCCCTACATTTGATCGTTATTTACTGAGGAACTTTTTCAATGTCTTTCTCGTTAATACTGTGTGTTTCTTACCCATGGCCAGTGCTGGTACGACTTTGAGCATGAGGGAATAGAGAGAGCAGTCATCAGAGACCACCACTGCCACCACACCTGGAAAAGAAAGAAGAAGAAACAAAATTAGATCCAATTAAAACAAATGAACTCTAAACTAAAATTCTTGTATGTAAACAAACCCTCGTTCCCTCACCCAGTGGTGTCCAGCTGGTGATGAGAGTGTCTCTGAGCTGAGCCCAGCTGCTGTAGTACTGCAGCAGTCTGACCAGGCTGGAGGGCGAGCAGGACGCCTCGCACAGCTCACACAGCTCCGACACACACTTACTGTGCTGCCCGAGAACGCTCACCAACCTGTTGTCGAAGGACAATCGAACACACATCGTAAGAGTGGAGCAGACTGGTGGTAAACTGGCTCAAACACTGGTGTGATCATTTAATCTCTACAGTAGAACAGTCAGCGCTGAGTTCGTCCTACCTGAGCAGCACTTTAGCTCTGTTGTAGCAGCTCAAGCCACTCCAGGCCTTGTAGCCACTGACAGCTGAGGAGGCACACTGGGAAACATCGTCCTGAACGGCGCACACGGTGTTGCACACATTACCACCTGGAGAGCAGAAGAGTAAAATTGGATTCATGTGGTCGGTTTCATCATTGTTTTCTATTCAAACAAGTATTAAATTTGTCAAATCAGCTCCAAACAAACTGATGCAGGTAACTCTATTAACAGTTTGTGGTCTTGTATTTCTTCACACCTTTCAGACACTAATAAGGATGTTCAGAAATAGGCTGAATCAATGACTCTTTATTTAAGTCTATTCTTGACCATGTGTAATAGCAATTAATTTTTAGCAAACATGCACATTAATTTTGGTACTACGTCACATCAAAGTCATATCTAGGTTATGTTAATGTTCTGCATTTGCTGGTTATAAACTGTTTGAATTATCTGCCATCCAAGATGCTGCTTTCCGTGCCCTGCAAGTTCAGGCTGCTCTAACCTTTAGAATCAGCCAAGGAGCGAGTCTGTCTGTCTGCTGGACGGACAAACTTGCCATCGATGAACAGACCCAGAGAGTGAGAATGATGATCCAGCCAGGCCTGATGGAGGAGACATTAACAAGCATTATTCAAGCTGAGGTGAAAGCCTAAAACATAGCAACCTAAACCACCTCTTTTTTTCATTGTGAATAAAATACACATTAGGTGATCATGGCATCTTGGGGCACCTAAAAAAGGAGAGATTTGTTGATTTCTATTTTCTATTGCACATTTATAATGACATTTCACCTCATTAACAAACAAGGTGATATCTACATTAACTATAGTTTATGTAATGTTTTTAAACATCAAAATGAAAGAAATTTTGAAAAAAAAATCATCATTAAAAACCCTGTTACAAATGCAGGAAAACATAATCTACCTTTGGAAGGAATGGACACAATCACAGAAATGAAGCATGCTTTCAAATTTAATTTAAGTTTGTTAAATGAACAACACTAATGAAATCTTCTAGTTATAATGGCTTTAAATAAAGCAGATCTGTCACTGTACATACATGAGATATAACCAAACCTATGCTCATACAGACCCTTTCCAAAAAATTTGAATATCATGGAAAAGTTGTTTAATTTCCATAATTCCATTCAAAAAGTTAAACTTTCATAGATTATAGATTCAGGGCCCACAATTTAAACAATTTCAAGTATTTATTTGTTTATTTTTTACATAATTTGGGCTTCCAGCTCATAAAACCCACAAAAACAGGAATTCAAAAAATTAGAATACTGTGAAGAAATCAGCCCAAATTTTGCAGGGCATGAATGTTTTAAACTGAGTGTCACACACTAATCATCTACTAAACTCAAAGCACCTGCACAGGTTTCCCCAGGTGTCATTAAATTGCTTCAGTCTGGTTCAATTGTCTCAGTTCGGTTGAATATGGGGAAGAATGCAGACATGACAACTGGCCAGAAGACCATGATATTCTAATTTTTTGGAAAGGGTCTGTATGTTATTGGTCAGGAAGACGCCACCTCTGCTGGACAATGACTGATAAAAGGCGGACTGGGCAGACGGAGTGTGTCAACTATTTACAGGCAGAAGACCAAAGTACAGAGCTGAACCATGAAGCTGATCTTCACATAGAAACTAAGACCATATACTCTAAAGTAAAATGTCACTTTTATTTTCCCACTAACAGTTGTATTTAGTGATGGTCGATTATTTTTGGCAACAAATAATTGGTCAATAGTATTTTTGTGCTTTTTTTCCAAATTTTTTTCAGGGTTATTTTCTCCTCCAATGCCACAGACAACATTATACACCTGTCACAGTTTAGGTAGGACTCCTCATGACGGGGAAACTGAACTCTATGTGATAATCAGTGGACTGGCCCGTAAAGATAAGCTCTCGAATAAGATAGGCTAAAACAGTGCACGCCACTATGGGCCGGAATGGCAGAGAATGCATCATCAACTTAAGACAAAAATGTAAGACAGTGTTTGTAATGGTTTTCCACACACTAACAATTAGCTGTTTCTAATATTTTGTCCACCTCCCCCTGGCAGAAATTGGGGTACATTACATATAAGTCAGTGCATATTATTTCTGTCCCTTAAACAATCATCAAAAACTTGTAAACTTGCACCACAACTTCCTAAACATCAGAGATAGAAATCATATGTGATTCTCCTCCTGGGACAAACATACTAAGTCTAGGCTCAGACCATGAGGAGGGTCCAATTCTGGCTAACATGTTTAATGGGTGTGAGCACTTGCACATCATTATTCAATACACAGGTTTGTATACATGTGCTGAACCACAGCAAACATGTATTCATGTGTATTTATTTTCCTATAGACGACACAAAATGTGAAGGAGATGGTTATTGCAACCTAAAGGGAAAATCCACCAACAAATGCAGAGGTCACATTATAATATTGTAGTTATGTTTTCATTTGGTGAACCAGTGTGGCATTGTAGCAGAATGATAATAGGGATGAACCACTTTGGAGTAGTTTGCTAGAGAGCGAATGACTGAATAACTACCAGCACACATATAGAGACTGTACTGGGATATGGCAACCAACATCTACACAACCAGCACATCTGCTACATCAGGAAGTTTTAATGCTCTGATTTGACTCTGGGCAGAAAATGAAACCGACAACAGTCATCAAATATCAGTGGGTTAAGTTCCCTTAAGTGGAAACGTTTGTGCTAACATCTGTCTTGGCTTCACTGGAGACATTTCATAACTAACTTCTGCACGGTCTAAGTCACATGTTTGCCTTGTGAGTTACAGTCAACTAACAGTTAATGAATTTCACATGGGTGAACAGTGTAACATGTACATGCTAACCGCATGTGAGCAGTAAAACTGGGTCATATTTTGTTTTATCCCAACCATAACCGCGGCATCTATTCCTCTGTTGAAAATTGGGTTGGTAACTTTACCTGTGCAGTGGCAGTGCTTGAAGTTGCTGCTGGTCCGTTCTCCATGCTTTGAAAAATATCGTACACTGTCTTGTTGGTGCTACCAGCCATAATAGTTACAAACCTAGAAAGGAGGTGAATCTCCCTAGCGCTCTGTATTCGTTTCTGGAAGCTGTTCGGAGAGAGAACCCCTACTTTTACGCTTTGATGGTACCTACAAGAAATTAAGCAGAAAACGGCAGCAGGAAGACGACAGAGGTCTCACCCCACGTCAAATGCAACGTGCTAGCTTCCCTCCCACTGAAAATCCTCGAGACTTGCTCGGTACAACTACATTGAACTACACGGAGCGAGAGGTTTCTCTCCTGCTTACTTCCGGTTTCTAGGGGTTCGTTTAATAAAGTGGATTTAAGTAGATAATGTAATTTTGTAAGTCACCGACAGCAATTTTAGAGTATGCTTTAAAATTAAAATTAAATTTGGTTTAAATACGTTTTAGGTTTTAGCAGGTAATTCTGCTCTGTAACACCTGTTTGGTTAGTTATTGCCGTGGACGGCTAATTAGATAATGTTTTTAGTAATTAAACTATTAGGAATAATCATTAATTTAAAAATGTATAAAGTCTGGGTAATTGCCGACCATTGGCATATTCCGGTGGAGAAGTCCTGACATTTAATTTTAAATATCAGAATCCAAAGGACCACCATAGCTGTATGGTTCACCCGGACGCATTTTGTCAACGTACCTGAAAAAAACGAACGCGCTTGCGCTCACGGAAGTGCGGAGAAATTGATGCGCTTTTTTCAGCTGAGTTGGTTCATGTCAAAAGCTGGTGATTTATTGTTCTTATTGTTTGTACAACTTGAGATAAATTGCTCCCAAAGTACGGAGTAATAATCTGCCAAAGGAGATACGTCACATCTTTGAAAATGCCCCGGAGAAAGGTAAGACAGATGTTTGCTGCAGACTCAGCCCTAAGAGCAGGCTGCTGTCCGGACACACAACAACATAACGTCATAGCTAATGTTAGCCAACGCAGAGACAACGTTTAGGTTGTGTGCAAAAACCTGTGACCACATGTGAGCTGAATTGCGATTCTACAAGATGCCGTTAATGAGTTTTTGATGTGTGTTGAATGTCGGTGTTGGTAGAATCACTCAACTGTGCTGCCGTTTGTGTTGTTGCTAAAAGCTAAGCTAGCTCATGTTTATTGCTGAGTTGCAAGAATGTGTTGTTGTTAATTAAGTGTCCCTTCTTCAGGTTGCAGTAAGAAAGGCTTTGAAAATGTGGGCTTTGCGACTTGAGGGCAGATTTCTATAAACCTGTGGAGGCACGCAGACCTCCGTTACCGTCTGTAACGGCAGCTTTAACTGTTGCGAGAGGGAACAGGCTGTTCTTTGGGTGCGAGGATCAAACGAAGCGTCCGTACCAAAACAACCCTGTGATTGGACGGAATCGGGAAAGTGTTGTGTTCATTGGTTCGACTCCGTCAAGCCCTGCCTCCTCTTCAATTTCATTGGTCATATGCAAATTGAGTGCTCGGGTTTTTTTGTTGTGAAGTTGTCAAACGCGCTCACCATAAAGTGCGCTAGTGGTGCATGCTGTAGAGTGATGTTTGTTTATTTCTCCTGTTATTTTCTGTCCATTTTTATGCTGTTTGTTTTTAACATTCAGTTCTGTAAAAATGTATTTCATTATTATTAGTCTTAAAAGTAGTCTAACAGCGATGTTATCAATATTATTTGGCATTTATCAGGTCTACATAATACACATAAAGTACATTTATTTGTACAAGCTTAGATATTGTCTTATATGAAGCTTTCTTATTTCTTTTTTATCGTATAGTTATTATCATTATTTTCTTTATAGTCTCCTGGACGTATATATAGTTATAGTTTGTAACTGTTATAGCTTTCAATTCATTTTATTCTCAATTTCTTTGGTCTGTTTTCATCATTTTTACCATTCGAGACAGTTTGACTGGTATTATTTCACCTTGTGAGTCTCTGTGCGTGTCATCATGTCAAAATGTTGTCCTGAAGCCACCTACTGTAGTGGGAATTACAGTTTTGAGTATTTTGGCAGGTGTTTATATGTCTGTCTGCCCGTCTGTCTGTCTGTGGACTATTTGTCACCGTGACGACCGTGTAAGATGAAGTCAGTAAACTTTACAGGTGTGTAGTAGACAATGAAATGAAGGCCAAGTTAGGAGATGGGTGTGGTCAGTGCTGAGAATGTGATCTCATCTCTAGATGGTCTCTAGTAGTATCTTTATCCAATCTGTCTCTAGTGCTGCTGTAACAACCAATTTCCCTCCTGAGAGTTATCTTATTATTATACAATGTATGTATTTTCCTGAGTATGTGTGACCTTTTAAATATAAAGTTGAACCTTGTAAAAAAGAGAGGGGGAAAGGAATCGTTTCCAAATTGATGAAAAATGGATGAGTATGATCATGAACAAAATAGGCTATTACACATAAATATCTACAAAATTTTAATTAAACGAATGAATTGGTATACAATACGTAGCCTTATAGTTGCACATTTGGGCTGTTATTTGAGAGGATGGATGAAGACCCCAGTATGTTATTTCTGAATGCAAATGACATGTTGGCTACCGCTAGAGCCTCCTCACCCCACCCCCACCCAGCCGGATTTTGGTCTCTATTTGAGAGGCGTAGGGTGAAGCCCCTCATACGCCTCCGTAATCAGCATCACCCCACTCCTTCATTCCGTGTTGTAGGCAGCTTGTGTCAGCCAGCAGTTTTGAAAAACTATGCGGTAAAATACGTTTAAGATACATTTCATGAGCTCATTTGGTTTTACTGAGTTTTTAGGCGCTTTTGGAAACAGTCTTTTGAACAAATAGCCGATTTAACAGCCTGGAAATTCACGCGGAAGGTGCACTCAGGCGTTCAGATAAATTGGGGTTGGTACAATAGCAGCTGCCTGGAAGTGTCCGTGATGCTGCTTAGGCTCATTTTGAGTTTTTATTGAGAAGCCCATCGTGATAAGAGTGGGTCCAGAGCCGGAGGAGATGTGGAGGGGGTGATGCTCCTCCCCCCTCAGTATGGGATCTTTGTTGAATTATCCGCTGGTAAAAAAACAAAACAAACAAACACAAATTTATTCTCAAGTCAGTTTCACTGCATTTTTCAATGTGTACACAGTTTTAAGTGCAGACTTTGAGTTAAATCACACACATTTCTTATAATTGTTATCTCCAGAGGACCGCAGGCAGCAGCTCGGACGGGACTGAGGACTCGGATTTTTCCGCCGATCTCGAGCACACCGAAGTTTCCGACAGCGCGCACAGACGCAGCAGCACGCGCCTGACTCGCGCATCTCTGCGCCTCAGTCAGAGCTCCCAAGGTAAACATTCAAAGATTTTTGAGAAATAATCCATTGTAGAAGGAACAAGAAGTGACATAAACCAACTGTACGTACAGTATATCTTTAATAGGCAGGAACAGTAGGGCATTGTGAAAATAGAAGCAACATGAGGGACTTTTATGGACACATAAAGGAATAAATAAACATATTATTTAGGTTAGCATCAGGAGTCTACCTGCTAACAAGTAATGGCGTTGGTGTAATTAACAAAATAACAAAATTATAAAAATGTAATTTTTACTTCAGAGAATGAAAACCCATTAGACCCCTTTAACCTTTTACACTTATCTAACTACACCAGTTTATTTCACCATGAACATAGGAATACATTTCTTTGGATCTTTCTTTAAACTTTAGAAAGTTAAGAGAATTAAAATTCCTACCATTTTTCCTTGTGGGTGTAATTAAAGCTACTTATTATATCATAGTTTAGTTTTCTGCTCTTGACCTGTAGTGAACTTTACAGTCTTCTTTTGATCATACATATTTGATCTCTACTTATAGTTATTATCAAGCCAAATATGTCTACATGCAGTGTAATTTAGTTTATGTGAGGCATTTTAATGAGAGAGGATGTTTTCATTCAGAGACCTCGACCCCCCCTCACTTCAACAGTTCGGCAGTAGCTATTATATATGGGCAGTGATAGAGCATGAATGGGTTCAGACAGGCTGACCTCCCCCCACCACAGACACACAAACACACCCTGTGTGACCTCTTTCTGCTGTGGCTGCCAGAGGGGATTTACAACAGAGAAAGAAAGGCCGACACTGCTTCCTCTGCTTTTTGTTACTGAGAGAAGTTGGCTATGCTGCCTCAGTCCCCACAGAGACACAGCTGAGTGTTTGCTCCAGGAAGAAGTGGATTCAGAGGTTCAGTCGTCTTTTCTGTGGCGGAATTAGACTCTTCATGACCATTGAGGCTGCTCGCAACAAGTAACCCTGCCTTTTTCTTACCATTTTTGCTTGGAGGTCCTTAGTTACAGATTACTGCTCAGGTTTAAGCGATCAATCTGGAAAACCTTTAATCTGTTTTTTCCACAGGGCACTCAAGTACTAGCACTGCAACTAAGTTATTTTTATTATTATTTCATCTGCTTATTTCCTTTATTAATTGTTTGATGATATCAGATTGCTTGTTTTGTCTGACAAACAGTCTAAAACCTTAAGATATTCAGTTTAATATCACGTAAGACAGAGAGCAGCGGTGAATCCTCACAATCTAGAAGGAAATATTTGTCATTGTTGCTTGAAAATTATTTATATTAACAGTTTCTCTGTCAATTGACTGATCAGTTTATCAGCTAATCATTCAAGGCCATAACTCTATGTCACAAATGAAATAAAAAAAGACACTTGTGAAAATTGTGTATTAGCAGTAAAATCTATTCAAAGTAAAAGTAATCATTATGAAAAAAGTATATTTCTAATTTCATCAGTATGTTTATAATGAAGATAGTTAGGTATAAATTTATATAAAGCTGGATACTTTGAGTTCTAATGCATTTTTATATGTTTTACAAGTATAGCCAACAGATAAAAGCAGCTGAGGACAGTGGTCTCAAAAAATGGAAATTCTTCTCTTCTCTTCTCTTCTCTTCTCTTCTCTTCTCTTCTCTTCTCTTCTCTTCTCTTCTCTTCTCTTCCAGATAACTGCAGCTCAGTACGGAGCAGTTCTCCTGCGGCCGTGGGTTCTGATGAAGGCCTGAATTCAGGAGGAGAGGCGGCAGCAGCAACGGCAGTGGCAGCGTCCGTCTTCTCCTCCGGGCGCAGGGTCACACGCAGCCAACAGGGGTCGACAAACACCACAGCCAAAAGATACCCACTGCGTCAGAGTCGGTCGTCTGGCTCAGACACTGAGGCTAATGGTGAGACCTTTTGTCTTAGTTGTTTGTCTTAAAATGAGATGTGCACAGTACGTTAGGGATGCTTACAAAAAAAATGGATGCTGTTGTAAGAGAGTAGAAACAGGCACAGTGGAAAGAAGGAAGGGTAGTAAAGTCAGGGAAGGGTGAAGGGAAGGAGGGAAGACTGATGAGTAGATCAGAGAGTTGAAAAGGAAGGGGGGCCAGAGAAACAAGGAATGACATGAGGATGAGATGGAGAGGAGGGGGAGGAAGACGAAGGGTGTCTCTCTGTGTGTTTCATTCATCCATTGTGGTGCTGCTTAGCTAATATCATCAGGCCTGTCTGTGATCACAGTGTGTTCCTGATTATAAAGAAGACAAATATGTCTCAGTACATTTCCAGGACTTGTGTTTTGTCACTGGAACGAATGGATAACCTTATGCAGACCAGAAGCTGTCGTTATAACTCCAGACACCTCCATCCATTAAAGCAGATTCATCTGTACTTAGATTGTTTGCTTATTCAATTTTATCATTAGTTACCTTAACATTGATTCATATAATGAAACGATACACAGTTAATCATGATTTATAATAGTTATTATGACCATCATTTTAATTATGTTATGTCCCGCCGACCTGGTTTATTTGCACAATACAAAATATAAAAGATATTTGAAGTTTTTGAAAAAGCAGACTAAAGCTGAAGACAGTTACAAGTTTGGTAGCCGAGCATGGTGTTAATGTGCTAAAATAGTTAGTCTGACCTCAGATATAACTGATATTAGGAATGACGTGTTGGGTTGTAACACAAAGTGAAAGAAACTGGCAAAGGTTTGCAATCTCAGATTTAAAAGAAATTTGCCTGACATCTTGAATAGCTCAGAGTAACTGGAAAAATGGGGAAGGAAATGGGCTGCAGTATGTCCTCCCATTCACCTGCTAGCCTCAAACACTGGTCTGCTGCAGTAACATTAGTCTTTACTATTGAATTTCTCTGCTGGCAGCCTCTGCTGGAGGGTGTTAACTGCATCTGTATGTGGTTACATTTGCAGCCTACAGAGATTTCTTTGAAGACAGACTTTTTACAATAGAAAGGCTAGATACTTTTATCACAAAAAGTGCTAAAACATTTATATGAAAACAGAGGATACAGACAGATACACATTTTCAGTCATTGATAATGTTTTCTTGGATTGGTTCAGCAGACCTAAAGCAGGGGGCGGACAGGGATGAGACCCCTCCTCGCACCCCAACAGGCAACGCTCCATCCTCAGAGTCAGACCTTGAGGTTTCCAGCCCAAGCAACGACCTTGTGTCTTCTAGCAACGATATTGTAGTTTCACAAGAGGAGGACGAGAGATTGGCTAAAGAGCTGTCACTCAAAGAGGCCGCCGCCCACGACCTTTCCCACCGGCCCAAACGACGGCGCTTCCACGAGAGCTACAACTTCAACATGAAGTGTCCCACACCTGGCTGCAACTCACTGGGTGAGGGCACAAACACTGAAACATGTTTTATGGGATCTGATGTGCTGTACTGATAGACCCACTCTGAGCCCATTGTTCCTTCTCTTTTTCACTCAGGTCATCTAACAGGGAGGCATGAGAGACATTTCTCCATATCTGGATGTCCTCTCTACCACAACCTCTCTGCTGATGAATGCAAGGTACACACACATTTTTTTAACAAGCCACATTGGAGTAAAAATATGCTACATTTTCTTTCAGTTTGTCTCCAAACTACTTTTTAGCTTCTGTAATATTACTCTATTATGGGAACATCTCAGAGAACACACTGCGACCAAGTGTCCAGTGGATGAAACCGAAGGAAGCCAACAGACTCAAATTGAAATTGTCAAGCTGCGAAGCCTCAAGGAACATGGAGGTGGTTGCTGTAATGTTGTTACTGCAGAGCTGCTTGTGAGTCGTTGGTGGTAGACAGTGTTGATGTTTTTGTCAGGGCAAGGCATCAACGCGCGACAAACAGGCCGAGGAAAGGACGCTATCACACCGTCAGGACGAGAACAGACATTCCACAAGAAACCAGGTAACGCACAAAACGCACAAGTGCATCAGACAAGCATAACACACAGTGATGCACGCTCGCATGTAAAACACAGATACAGTTACACACATTCTGTCTTTCTGTAAGATGATTCTCTTATCAACTGAACTGAGCAAGTGAATCCAGGTGAAGGCTGTGACCCTTCCTTGATTTCACCTGTCCAGTTCACTTCATCATGAACTGAAGGTGTGTTAGTTTGTGTGTCTGTGTGAATGAATGGAGGGAAATTCCTGCACACTGCAGCATTACTCCTGAAGCAGTAAGACCTCAGGTCAGAGATCTGTGATTCTTCAGTGTAGCAGGGCCAGAGAATAGGGATGAAGCGCTGCTGTAGGTTAAGTCACAGTAAGTGTGGTGGGACTCATCCTGACATATTTCTCTCATGTAGTTTATTAGTTTAATTGGCAAGGACAGTTCTCATTGATCCACAGAGAAAACCCATAACTGAGCCAGAGTTAGCTTAAAGGGGTTAATTTGTTGTTGTCACCAGCCAGATGTTACAAAAACGCTTGAAAAAAAGAATAAACTGACATATTATGAACTTTGCATACACAAGATAGTGCAAGAAATACTGTAGTACACATCCCAAAAAAATAATGCCAATGTGCTTACACTATAATTGATCCAAACACCCAGTTACTTGAACTCAGATGCAACTTGTAACTTGTGATCTGCTAACATCATATCTGGATCAGGGGAAGAACATATTGCTAATTTAGTTACATTGAACTTAAGACATGATTTGTTTAGCTCTAATATGGCTCTTTGCATTATTAAGTTTGGAAGCAGGGAAACCATGTGTATAGATCACAGTATCATCAGCATATGGGTGGAATTTCTTCAAACAGAAGACTACATAACAATGATCTGAGTACAGGGCTAAAAGCGGTGGACTTGAATATGAACCTTCACATTTTGTCTTCATTTTTTATTCATCCAGCAGTCACAAAATATCTGCATTAGTATTAATGGAAATCAATACAACTCAGCAACACATTATTTCTTTATATACAGTGTAATCATCAAACATTTAAATTTAAAGTAATGATCTTTTTTCTTTTTTTTAGCTCTACTATTGCCACTCCTTAAAACGTAATGGGCCAAAAATGCAAGTGCAGAATCTTGTGTGTTGAAGTGTTTGTTTCTGTGCTCACAGGCCCCATCAGATCGTCAGCTGCGCTACAAGGAGAAGGTGACGGAGCTGCGGAGGAAGAGGAACTCTGGCCTCAATAAGGAGCAGAAGGATACGTACATGGTAAGTGGTTGAGAAATAAATGTGTGCGCAATAGTTCAAACACAAAGCAAATATATTTCCCAATATTATATTTTGAGAGTCTTTCTTCTTTTCTTCCCCACCCTCCTCCACTGCCAGGAGCACCGTCAAAGCCATGGGCCAAGCCGGGAACCGCTGCTGGAGAACATCACCAGCGACTACGACCTCGAGCTGTTCAGGAAAGCGCAGGCACGTGCCTCGGACGATCTTGTAAGAGAGAAAACTCATCATCATCTCCCTCTCTTACTCTTTACTCCTTCCCCCCCTTCTGTTTTGTCCCCTCTTTTCTGCCTTACTCCTCTTCTTCTCTGTTTCAGTCTGCAAACCCTCCTCTGCAGCCACAGGAGGAGTCTGAGATATTTTTGGTAGTTTGTACAATCACTTCCTGTTTGTACTTGTTTTGTTCTCCTGCTCTGTTACTTTGTGACCCATTCAGATGAGAGAGCGTTGTTACATTCAATCAGGCTTAACTTCAAACTGTCACATAAATGGTTTTGCATGTTTTGGCCTCTTCGGTACAAATGGTATACAATTTTCCAAAGCAAACAACAGATTTGGGTTAATGACAGGATTTTCAAGCTGGTATTAATTTCTATTTCACTGCAAAATAAAAGTCATCTTGAAAAACTTTTGAACAGTGTCGTATTATACTTGCATGGTAATGCTGGAAGTCTTAAAAAAATTCAAATTAACTTGCTCAGGTTGAAGACCTTAAATTATTTTGACACAACTAAAGTCTTAAATTAATTTTTGACAGACTTTCATAATACTGTGGTATCAAAACACTGTTTTCCAACGAATCCTACCCTCTACTAATTTTTCTTATGACTGTGTCATAATTTTTTTGTCAAAGTTTTTCTTAAAAATCCTTGCACCCAACATGTAAAGAAGAAATTTGTTTCATACCTTCATATTTAGCCTTTTCCTATTTGTTCCTCATCCTAATATTTCTTCAAACATATTTTTATTGTTTCATTTTTATATTTTCTGTGGCTGGTTTCCTCCACTGAGGTTTCCTTAAGTGTGATCTTGGGCTCACACGATCCTCTTCCCTGAATAATTGAGATCTTTTCCTCTTTCTCTTCTCTCCCCTCTGCCTGCTCGCCTGCCCTCTCTTCTCGTCCTCTTGTCCTCTTTTCACTTCCTTTCCCCCTCTCCCTGTCCCTCCTGTCCTGGCCTGTGCAGGAGAAGCTCCGTCTGGCCGGTCAGGTGTCCGAGGGGAGCAACATGATAAAGACCATCGTGTTTGGACGCTATGAGCTGGACACCTGGTACCACTCTCCATATCCAGAGGAGTACGCCCGCCTGGGGAGGCTCTACATGTGCGAGTTCTGCCTTAAGTACATGAAGAGCCAGACCATTCTGCGCAGGCACATGGTGAGGCAGCCTTATTTTGTTTTTGAAGCCAGATACTTAAAAAATTGAAGACTGCCATAAAAACTTAACCTGATAAATTGACTTGACAAATTAGTCTATTTTTATCTTTAAAAGACTTGTCTAGTGTCTACACAGTTAACATTTTCAGCTGTTATAAGTAATCTTATATTAACAGCTGATCAGATGATTGCATGCACGTTTAAGGCGATGCTCATAGTGACAAACCCACAGAGAATTATCACCCAGCTCTGCTTGTCCTCTGAGCTGAGTTTTATTAAGACTTTTATCCCAGGCTTTTGCTCTCTCCGCTCTCATGTCACAAGCAGCAGCTGTTTTCAGTGAAGAAGCTCTGAGAAACTCACTGTTCACAGCCTGCTTATGTGTTGCTCCATATCTGCTTGATTTGTAAATAGTTTACTGACAATTTCACAAGGGTATAATATGTGTGTTGTGTTAACCCCTTGTGACGGAAAATTGTTAGCTATAAAAATACACAGTGGCATTGGTTTTCTTTATTTCAGTGGTACTGTAAATTAGTCATAGTTGAAAAATGACTTTAATAGATTAAGGCAAATTATGAGTAAAGTTGTTTTTTTTATGCAGACTTGCATACACTGTTGTTGGTATTAGTTATTTTTGAACACACAGCTTCTCCTGCAGTTTCTTTCCTAAAATGCACACTGCAGCTTCTCTGCCTGTCATCAGCATCTCAGATTAGATGTAATGTACATGGCTGTTTAGGACTTGTACATTTAAATTATCAAATGTGACTACATGTGAATTACCTCAATTTTTATAACAAAAACTGCATTACAGAAATAAATGCACACCTGCACCAACTGTGCAGTTTAGGTTCACTTACCATCTATTTTTAGAAAATAAATGCAATTTTTTTTCAACAGTTTACAATAAAAATATCAAATATTCCGATATTTTGGTGCAGTTTTTTCTCTCATTCATTCCACATTTCAACAAGGAAAAAAAACAAAGAACACAACTAAATGCTGCAAATTCTTCCTGGTGTGGTTGTGGACTGGTTCTTTATCTCTGATTGATAACCAGAAGAATTTAAGCTTCCGCTCAGTAATGTCGAGGCATTAAAGTGAAAATGGAGTCTGGGCTGTTGCTTTAGTTCAGACTATGACCTCACTATCTCACTGCCTAAGGCGATTCATAATTTTATTCCTGCACTGTGCAGACTCGATTTAGATTTATAACTTTGCCCTTCTGATGCAGTTCACACTGTTTCTATATTTGAGTGAGAGATGTAAGAAGAGGAGCTTTCACCAGACTGGGTGCTCTGCTGAACTGGGATCTGAAACAGACCCCTCTTGTTGTAGTACACTGAGCCCGTTTTTGCAATGAAGTATTTAAAAAAAAAAAAAAGAGAGAGAGAGAGAATTTCTAACACCAATGAGAAACAGCCAATGAGATTTAAAAAACACTTTATGCAATCTGCCAGACTAGAGATGTGAATTCAACCTTTGTTTTACTAACCTTTATATAAACTAACCTTTGCTTTGTTTTTCCTCCTTGTTTGTCCCTGTTGTACAAAGGCTAAGTGTGTGTGGAAGCATCCTCCAGGTGATGAGATCTACAGGAAGGGGAACATCTCTGTGTTTGAGGTGGACGGAAAGAAGAACAAGGTGAGAGAGTCCTGCACAGGTCGTCCTGACCTTCCTTTGGGTACATGAACCTCTCTTACTTCAATCTGTGATGTTCTCTCTCTGTCTGTCCCTCTCTGTGAGTCAGGCTCGGCAAACTCAACTTAACTGCGACATTAGACATTAAAAATCATCTTGAATCAAAATTAGCAGTCCGTAACTTAGATGAGAGGTGGTCAAGTGGATGAGTCAGTCAAAATGAATTCAGAAGAAGGCATCATCTTAAATCCTCCTGTGGAGAGAGGCAGATTGTCTGGGCCACTCGTGAACATCATGTCTAAATTAGTAAATGCGACAAGTTCTTTTAAATCGCTCGTATGTTCAACTTAAGAACGTGACTGTTCTGGCATGACACTGACAATGGCTGCATTGAATGTAAAAATTTCACTTCTGGTCGACCAGAATCCTGTAAACATAACGAGACAGAGATCTGTCTGTGTGAGATTAGACAGCTGTGTTTACACAAAGACAGGGATGGACTGCGCACCAGCGTGCTGTCATAAATGCTGACAAGAAGTCACTGTGAAGTGAACCAATAAGTTCTGATCAGTTATGATGTCTGTGGTGCTCTTCCTCACAGATTTACTGTCAGAACTTGTGTTTGCTGGCGAAACTCTTCCTGGACCACAAGACTCTGTACTACGACGTCGAGCCTTTCCTCTTCTACGTCATGACTGAAGCTGACAACACAGGGTGCCACCTAGTCGGATACTTCTCTAAGGTAACCAGGGTGCTAATTACTGAGTCACAGAACCGTTTTTTTTCAATACACCTGAATTATTTGAACAGAAACCTTCAAATTAAGTTATTACCAGAGAGGAGAATGTTTTTCCAAGCTGCTTGATGATATGAAGCTGTAGGTTTGGAAGTGAACTGTACCAAACACTGATTTGCTGTTTCTGGACTGTAGAGAATAAAAGGAAGTTCATAAATTGCTTTTAATCAATACATAGTCCCCCAGGATATAGAATATATCCAAAACCTGTGTCAGTTAGTTTGTTGTGTTTATGGATTTATTCTCCTTCTGCAGGAGAAGAACTCTTTCCTGAACTACAACGTATCCTGCATCCTCACTATGCCACAGTACATGAGGCAGGGCTATGGCAAGATGCTCATAGACTTCAGTGAGTACAGACACAGTGTGTGTATTTCTCTTTGTGTGTTTTACTCTCATAAATTTAACTTCCATACACACTGGCCAGAGAGTCTGCTCAGAGCAATAATAGCAGATTTAGGAGGCTGTCTGAAAAAAATGTGTGATTTAGATATTACAGACATTCATATTGTTATTTTATTTCCTCTTTCTATATCCTTAAGGAAGAAAATGCTAAAAAGTAAAATCAAACAAAAAGGTCTATCCGATCTGTTCTTCCAGGTTACCTGTTGTCAAAGGTGGAGGAGAAGGTGGGTTCACCTGAGCGTCCTCTGTCCGACCTGGGCCTTATCAGCTACCGGAGTTACTGGAAGGAGGTGCTGCTGCGCTACCTGAACAATTTCCAGGGCAAGGAGATCTCCATTAAAGGTCAGAATGGGACCAGACACACACACAATTATGGGAAGAGACAGAAACATTTCAGGAGAGAAGAAGGTTGGGCAGTGGTCTGTCCAGATCTCTGAATCACTCATCATACATAAGAAGAAGAAGCTGTAAAATAAACTGTCATGTCAGGAAGGAATGTAAGAGCCCCTACAGGTCAGCAATGCTTGAGACTGTGTTTGCGTGCGTGTGTTAATATGTGTATGCATGCATTCATGTGTGAATGGATCAGAGAGCACTGAAGCCTCACCAAGTGAGGGTCAAGCTGATAAATGAAGGTGGATGCACACAACAACATCCCAAAGTCATTCGGACGACTGGGGGAACGCTACATGCAGTCCAGCAGCTTTGTTGTGATGGTTGTGTCTATTCCAGAGGAAAAATCCCTGTTACTGTCGTGAAAACAAAAAAAAAAGTATAGAATAATAATAAGTATAGTAGAATAACTCACTGGTTTAAATTTTAAGGCTTAAAGTTCTGCATAATTGAGGGCGTGACTGCTTTGATTGACAGGGGAGTGAGTGTATGCTTGTCGTGGAGGCTACGTCCATCTTTATTTACAGTCTGTGGTTCAGATATTTCAGTCAAGAGTGACCAACATTGTCATCTAATGCTAGCATGCATACAAGTGGGCAATGATACAGTGTTTGTTTTTAACATAATTTCAGTCAAAGTGCACCAGCAGATGACATCAGAGCTTTATCTCCTTTTTTTCCCCTGCTAAATGTACTTCTCATTAAGAAGCCTCAGATTCTTGCCTGAAATGAAAATTTAATGAAATTAAAAAGTGCCCTGTTATGTTTTCTCATAAACAAACAAAAGTTCTGTTTACATTTAGTGTTTCTCACCACAACACATGTGGTGAGTTTTTAGAGTCGAAACGGTTACAGGTTTCACGCTATATCACGGTAGAAATGCCAGACGGTTAGTATCACCGTTTAAATTTTAATTATCACTATAACCGTGGGCTCTGTTAGGCATCGACCAGCAACAGTCTCCCACACGCATGCGTGGCGTTAATGCGTCAATTAAAACATGGCGGAAAGCGGTGACAGCACTGCTGCGGAGATTTTTCAGCTTCCAAAAACTTTTCCCACCAAAGTTAGCAGGTATAATTGGGATTTTGTTTTTTTTTTAAAGCGAGTAAACCCGCTAAAAAGGCGAGTAACTCCTTTTACACTGCCAGACGAGTTTGCCTTTCTGCTCGGGGCGATGTCACATGACCGCAGAGACAAGACGCAGGTGAGAAGGAGTGAGCTGTAGCCGCTTCGGTCGATGATTGTGTGGCTGCAGCTCACTGTCTTTCCGGTGCAGTGTAGCCGCCGTGTTTCTGGTTTAACAGCACCGTGCTGGACAGGTGACAGGTGTGTCTACAGCCTCTGTGTCTTAAAGACGTCACAGCAGGAAAAAAAAAAATGCTATTCCCTTGTTAACAGAGCCGGCTGATGCTGATAGATGTGTTGGACATGATATTATTTTAATGTTTAAATGTAAACATACACTTAGTAAAATGATTTCTGGTTGTGTTTTATTACTTTTTGAACATTTTCAGCGCATTTTACCAATATGTGATAATACTGATAACCGTGATCATTTTGTTCACTATGATCCTGACACTAAATTTCTATACAGTTTCATGTCTAGTGTGTTTACTTAACAACCAACATGTTGAATGCATTTCCTTCCTCATAAAACTCTTGAAAAGCAGACAGAGTTAAATCATTAATTGTCCATTACTGGCAACCTGCTGCTCCTCGCTCTCCATTTAAGCTGTTCATATTAAATAGGGAGAGGTGGGATTTAGAGCATTTAAAGTTTTACATCCCCGAGCCATCACGATTTAACAGCACTAATTATACGTAACTCTAGAGTAAGCGCTGTAAAGTTGTAAATAATTTCAGTTGACTACCAGGACTAACTAAAACATAATATTGCAGTTAGTTTTAGATGAGCTACTGTTCACAAAACCTTTTTGTCACAGTAAATAAAGAGGTAGTGAAAACATCAAATAATAGAAATGCCACAGGGGTCAGACAGCGACCATCACAAAACAGCACGTAATTCAGTACACTCTGTTCCCTCGTTGCCAAGCCACTTTTTTCCCTCCTTTTCTTTTGAGTTTGTGTTTTTTCAAAATGTCTATGTTGAATTTAAAGTGTTATTTAGAATTTAAGAAGATGTTTTCAACTCACACTGAGTAATATTCTTCTAAGTCATTCCGGTCTGCACTCAATGCGTTCTCACTACTGACATGATACGACTTCTCTGCCTTTCTCTGGCATGCCTGTAGAGATTAGCTACACATGACATTGTACAAAATGGGATTGATCATCATTCAATAGCATTTTGATTAGTTCTAAGCTGCTGTATTTACACAGAAGGAACTGTGAATATAGTCATAGTTTATCTTAAGTTTTATAATGTTGAGTGAAGGAGTTTTTCAGTTGCATAGAAACAGCACAGTCCACAACAATGATGCAGCTGTTTAGCAAAAACATTTAAATTGAAATGTTTAATGTTACTGTGAATATTTAGCTTCGTAGAGAAATTATCCATGGTTAAAGTTTGTAATTGAACCCAGTGAGTATCTTCACTACTCTGAAATCTAAAAAGACAGAGCCTGGCAGCTCCACAGTTCATGTTTACTGACTTCAGAAAACGGCTTGTCACTTTTCATGATGCAAAAACAAACCAATAATCTTTCATTAAGCATATAAAACATTCTGTGACTGTATTTCCAGGAACATCTTAGAGCATTATGCTTGCTTTGTAATTGTTGTGTAATTTTTTGTTCTCTAATGCTAGTTTTAATCCCTGCTAGTGGCCGGTGATGGTCCAAAGTTAAATATCTCCACAACTATGGGATGGATTGGCAGTAAATTTGATTGTGGATATTGATGTCCCCGACAGTATGAATTATAATGATTTTGTTTATCCTTATCTATAACACCAAGATTTATGTTCAAACACCTGCAGAACTCTTGACTAATGAGTGGTAGCAGAAAATGTTAATTTGCTAGTTAACGAGCTGACATGCTAAAATAATATGGCGACTATGGTAAACATCATACCTGCTAAATATCAACATCATAAAGCAATGGTTTAACATTTTGGGAAATGCGCTTATTTGCTTTCTTGTTGAAATTTACATGAGAAGTCTCCTCTGGGTGCCCGGCAACCACACGGCGACAACAACACACCAGCAAGTAATAACATTGCATCAAACCACAGCTTGTTGTTTATACCTTTTCATATTTGTGCAGATTACATGTGCTCATTAGTGAGCTTTAGAGACGCTGGCAGGCAGATTTTGATACCTTTGGACAGAGCTAGGCCAACTGATTCCCACTGTTTTCAGTCTTTATCCTAAGCCAAGCTAATCAGCCGCTGGCTATTGCCCTATATTTATTGGATACATCAATATTCTCATCTAACTCCTGGCAAGAAAGCAAAAAAAATGTCAAACTATTTCTGCAACACTGTCATTCTGAGCATGTTAGCATTTGACATTAGCATTTAGCTCAAAGCACCATGGTGCCTAAGTATAGCCTCAAAGAGCAGATCGCTTGGCTGTAGCCTCTTAGTCTTATCAATCACATATTTCTGACCTTCTAACTCTGGTGTTTAACTCTTGTGTTCACAGAGATCAGTCAGGAGACGGCAGTGAACCCAGTGGATATTGTTAGCACACTGCAGTCTCTCCAGATGCTCAAATACTGGAAGGGAAAACACCTGGTTTTAAAGAGACAGGTAGGAAACAAAAGAATCAAATTTAAAAGTCAGAATTTCCTTCATGCTATCGTGTCCAGTTTCTACATAATACAGGATCTGGCAAATTAGTTTTGGTCAAAACATTTATTAGGTACTTGCGACAATTACGTTTCAACTTTATGACATAGTTCTTCATCAGTATTTGCAGCTAAGGTGCTTCTTCTTCCTGTAGGACCTTATTGACGACTGGAAGGCCAAGGAGACAAAACGTGGTAATGGCAAGACCATTGATCCCACAGCCTTAAAATGGACACCGCCTAAAGGGACGTAGAGGAGCTTCCTTTCACACGACACACACAAACACAGACAGATTTTCCTCTGTACACTGGCATGCTCACAGACCCTGAGCCTAAACCCTCACACATACTCTTTTTAACGTATAAAACGCTTTCAGTCAGCTACAGCAGAGTCATCCACTTACAGAGTCAGTTACTCTGGGTTCAAGCAGTCACTGTCATGGCTCGGAAAATGACTTCAGTCCAGTAAAGAAAAACAATAATAATAATAATAATAATAAATAATATAACAATAAAACTGAAAAAATCCTATATTAAATTTGTTAAACTGATGTGTGTGGTCAGTTTTTAAGATCTGGCTGTGTTAAATTTAACCAAGCTGTAGTTTTCATTAGCGAGAGCTTCCTAATGAAGTGTACACTTTACATGCAAGAAAAAAACATGAAAAGTGATGGTTAATTTAATTGTAACTTAAGAGTTAAGGTTTATATGTATTTCAAGCAATAAGCTATGTATTTGAGTTAAAACTAGACTCTGCAGCCTAGTGTTTATATTCAAGTCTCATATGTAGACAACTGTAAGCCACTGGCACTTAAATTAAGGCAATATATTACATGGCTTTTGCAGATTTTATTAATTAGCTTTTTTTTAATCCATGTTATGATCTTCTTTTCAATAACACATGTTCAGTAGAAAGAAAACTTCCAAGATTTCCTGTTGCCTTGTCACTGCTGTTTTTCAAACTTTTGTTTCAACACTGTTTATTAAATATGACTGGTGCATTTGAAAGTGCAACCACTGGTGCTCTAAAATGACAAGCCAATAAGTACGGAGCCCCAAAATGTTTAATATATAAAAAAAAAAAAATCATATGAATAAACTATGTAATATATAAATGAAACAAAAATGTTTGAAAAGACTTCAGCAATTACAAAATCTCAACTCATTATAAAAAATTATTTTCGTATTTTTATAGGAGTTCATCTTTATTTCATAACAGAATTTTTTTTAATTCAAAATGCCCTTTTTAAAAAGTCTTTTTATACTTGATACTTTTATTTCATGTCATTTTCATGACAGTGGTGTAGTCAACTGCCATCTTATCACATTTTTCCCATTTCTTAAGCTAACAAGCTCAACAGTTGCTACTGGTTTTAGCCAGTTTGCTCTTGTTAGCTCGAGCAACAACAATGACAAAGTAATTCTGAATCAACTATCGAGCTGCTGCTATAAATGAACACAGTACACACACAGTGGCATTAACTTTTTTGTTTTATGTATTTAGCTTAAAAAGGCTGCTCATCCTACCCAGCTAGTTAGCCAACTAGCTAAGCCAGGTTGTTAGTTTGGTTTATTATTCAGCATCAAAGCGAAGCGCTAGTGTGTTCTCAGCAGCTAACGTTAGCTAGGTAAGTCAGAATTACTTCTTTTTACTTTGATGTTGAGTAATAATCCAAGTTCACATGCTGGCCTAGCTAGTTAGTCAGCTTGGTAGTTAGTATTGGCAGTCATGTTGAACTAAGGTTTAAAGACAATGAGGTTTCGTTACTGTGTGAACAAACACAGTGTGAACAGACTGTGTTTTTTTACAGCAGCAGCCTCTTGATTCAGAATCACTTTGTCATTGTTGTCGTTCTAGCTAACCGGTGCTAATTGCCTTATGCTGATAGTGTTTGTTGAGCTGCTAGCTTAAGAGACACGGGGGCATGATTGGCTGAAAGGTGAGAGGGCAGTGACTTTAGCACTGTCATTAAAAGTGGGGGATTCCATAGAGAAGAAGCCGATCTTCGCCGTTTATGTGTAATGTTTATATTTTCAGGCTCAGGCTTCAACCTCAACAAGATTCTTCTACAACATACAGTATGACTAAAACATAAAATCACTAGCCACAGTAGCAGTCAGTGATGTTAGTCTACGTAGGATGGCTGCTGACATCTCGTCAAGGTAATTTTTAATCCGAAGAGTGAAAGTAATTGCGCATTGTTAGCGCACCTCCCCCCGGACAGTTAATTAACACAGACCACCAGGCACACCCGATAATCCAATCTGCGACAGCCAGTATCGAACCTGTGCAGCATTTCATTCTATTCTCAAGACAGAACGCGTGTCGGGAGCACGCTGACTCACGCAACGCGTTGTGGCAGACACAGACCAGCTGGCTGTGATTAACTAGGACAAGTGCATCAAGCTTCTAAGAATAGGAGTCCTTGATTTACCATTCAGGTCACATGACTAAACGGAGGTTTCCCACAGAAACCGGAAAAGACTTTTAAATGAATTTGATCATTTCCACATGAGTTTGATGTTCAGTAATCCCCATGAATAAAATATTAATTAATATTAACACTATTGTCATTTCACATATTGAGAGCGGGCAGATCAGCCGTAGAGTGATGTAGCGTTATGTCATGCATCCAATCAACTCAAGTTGATTACATTTTTTTCTGGAAAAAGTATAATGGTTGAAATGGTGTGAGGAGTTAAGATGGTCTCAGGTCGAGTCTGTTACCTCTTTTTGTGTAAAAAAAGAAAAAAAAAAAAAGAAAAAAGAAATGGCGCAGTGACCAAACAGTGGCTGCTTGAACACAGAGCAAATCAGTTTTGCTTCTCTCTCATGCAACAAACACACACATCCAGTATCTCACCCATCTCACTCATCAGTCGGTTAACCAGGAAACTATAGCTGCCATTGGCCACGTTTGTACAGTGTAATGTCACCAGGATGGGACCTTTTGTTACCACCCCTCCTTCTGTTTTTTTCACTTTTATCTTACTGTCGGTTGTGTTGTTTCATGATGCCATGAACAGTGAGGGTGCACAGGGAATCTCAGCTGTTAGGAGTGTGGGAGCTCACAAACATGTTGCTGTGTTTTCTGTGTCCTTTTGTGTTGATTTTTTTTTAAGTTCTCAATGATATTTTACACTTTTTCTACCTCTGAGGTTTTACCACTGTATAAATGCTAGAACGGCCCATATTTAGCTTGTTTTGTTTCCTTTTTTTTTATTCTGTGTGTTAACATGTGAAAAAAATGTAGCTGTGTTTGGCCAGCAAGTTTTGTATTAGATTTCTTTTTAAATATGCTATTTATATTCTTAAAAAATATGATATGTTAACTACTGCGTAGAACGTAAAGGACAAAGTCTAGTAGGGGAATGTCTACTCTATAGGACCGGCTTCCTTGTGAATAGAAATATTTATTTAAAATTTATATGTAGATTTGAATGTGTTTAGAAGCGCTTGAAAGGTACAGGAGGGAGAATCCAGGGCATCCACCCACCACCAACAAAGACAATGACAGAGGTCATTTTTATTTCAGAGGTTTCATCTCCTTTTATTAAAAGTGACATATGATTGAATCAAAATGTGTCACTTTTGCACATTGTCACTATTTGTTACTGCCATAATTGGTGCTGCAAGCGCTTAGGAAAATACAAGCACAACCTTTATGCGTTAGTGATGGTCAGCAGCATTTTGTAATATTATTTGTCCTCCATAGCCCACTGTGGTTGATCAGAAACAGAATTTATTTTATTGACAATCTCCATATTTATTGATTTAGATCAACATGTTCATTTTGTAACCAGCTCTTAGGATTTGTTAACAGTTTGGGGAAAAAGGCAAATTCACTTCCTTGTTGATAGTTAAATGAAGAAATTGATAACACTCTCTTGTCTGAATGGTAAATATGAATCTATGGCCAGCAGCTGGTTAGCTTAGCTTAGCACAAAGACTGAAAACAGGGCTAAACAGTTAGCCTGGCTCTGACACTTTTACAGTTTGGTTTAAATATAACAAGATATAACATGTTCATTATCCAGCTAGGAGGCAGATTTTATTACCTTTGGACTGAGCCAGGCTAACTGTTCAGCCCTGTTTCCATTCTTTGTGCTAAGCTAAGCAGCTATTGGCAGTAACTATATAGATACTTACTGTATCAGTCTTCTCATCTAACTCTCAACAAGAAAGAGAATAAGTGTATTTCCTAAAACGTCAAACTATTCCTTTAAGCATTGTGCATAAGCTTAGACAGCAGTTGGCTGTGAAATCGGAGGTGTGTGGCCAACAATGTCAGATTGAATCAGCTGTTCTTCAGAATGTTTTTTTGTTTGTTTTTTGTTTTTTTTTGTAGCTTTTGTGTCACGATTTCAAACGTGGACAAATCATTTTCTTTCACAAACTACAGCCTGAACTTACATAATTTACATTTGTTTTCTTCTGTTGCCTTTAAAGTGCATACATTTGAAGATGTTTTTGTTTTGTTTTGTTTTTTTGTATAGTGATGTTTTCTTTCTGTCATCTGTGGATTAATTTGTCTTTGTTTTACATGTTTATATTTTCTTTATTCCTGTGGTTAGTTTTCTCGTCTCATTTCGGTCGTACATGTGACAGCTCACGAGTCATGCCCACCGGCCGATTCAAAATCAATACAAACAGTTCGTGCATTTCAGAGGACGACATCTTTCCTTTTAGCACCTGTTCTCAATAAACCTCTCTGCAACGTGCTACTGAGCAAAGTTACTCATGACTGTTGTGAGTGTAGGGAGTGTTTTTTTTTCTTGTCAGTTCTTAAGTGCATTTACAGGAAAGTGCACTTACTTTTTGAGGGAATTTCAAAGTAAAAATCGATCTTAAGACGCAACACCTGACGATGATGATGTTCTATAGTTCGGCAATTTTGTCCTTGAGTGTACTTTTGTTTTTACAAAGGTATGATGGAGTGATTTTGCTTTCAGTGCCTACAACATATATTTTATAGTTGTGTTTTTCTTAATGGGTGGTACAGTGGTTAGCACTGTCGCCTCACAGTAAGAAGGTTGTAGGTTTCGAACCCCGGTATGGCCAAGATCTTTGTATGGAGGTCGCATGTTCTCCTCGTGCCTCCGTGGGTTTCTCTCCAGCTTCTTCCCTCAGTACAAAGACATGCAGGTTAATTGGTGACTCTAAATTGTCCGTAGGTGTGAATCTTTGTTTGTCTCTACATGTCAACGCTGTTATATCCCGCCTCTCGCATTCCTTATAGCTGATGGATGGAGTCTTGCATTGAATTTTTAACAGTCATTCAGGAAGAAATCCATTATGAACAGAGAGGATATATTCTCACAGCGGCAGAAAATGGACCTGAACATTTGTCTTCAACAGAAAAAGACTCAATGAAACGAGAATTACATAACATTTTGTAAAAAAGACATCTGGAATGTGTTGAAAATTACAAATGAATCATAAGCAGATTGATTTTTTTATTCTTAGAGATGAGCCCATTTTAAGGAAACTTTTCATTCTTGATGTGGCAGTCCATTTTTGTTTCTTTCGTTTCTTTTTCATCCTGTTGTCTTGCTGTTTCCCTCTGTGCCAGTGGCAGCTATAGGTGGACAGGTTCAGAGCATCTTGCTGGTTATTAACACATTTGAACAGGGTCACGGACACTTAGAGAAACAAGAGGCTTTCCATCACCTCCTTCCATAGGCCAGCGAGCTGTTGTAGTACTGCTACCTTATTTAATCTACGCACACAAAGCAGCGACACACAAAAGTAGCGTGGCATAGATATGTAGCTCAGTTGTGCTTTTGTACTTGCTTCTTCCCCTTCCCTCCTCTTCAATAAATGCAAATGGTGAGCTTTGACTGATGTTTGTGTGTTAGCTGTTTCCCCCGGCAACAGCGCAAGAGAGGGCTGATGGGTCAAGCATCGTTTGTCTGGTCAGTTTCTGAATGAGCATATCACTAACAAGGGAAGTGCCATTCTGCCTCCCTTAAGATGTACATCTGTCAATCCTGACGAGACGAGCCTCCAGTCTGCCCTATTTAATGACATGTTGTGCATCTACAGCTGAGAGGTTCAATAGCTGGAGTGGA